AAAGTCAGTGCTGTGCTAAGCCTTCCACTCAATCCTCTTAACAACTTGTAAGACAGACACTCTCATGATCTACATTTCACTGATGAAAAGCTTGGCCAGCATCAAGAACATATAAGTGGCAGTGCTGGATTCAAACTCAAGGCTAAGCACTACAGCGGACAGCCCCAGAAGAGAAACTCCATATGTGAGAGAACTGCATCATTATCATCATGGGCTTAGCTACAGCTTCTCACTATTTCCATCCCTGCCTCCACAATTCAAGCCACCATTGTCGTCATGAACTGACTATACACTGTTTTTTATTGACCTCTCAGCTTACACTTGTGCCCCTATAGTCTGTTCCTCACCAAGAAACCCGAGCAATCCTTAGGAAGCCAAAGTCAGATAATATCACTCCTCAGCTCAAAATCCTGCTCCATCTCACCCAGAATAAAATGTAAAGTCCTCACCATGGCCCACAGGGCCCTCAATATCTGGCCCATTCTAACCTTAACATTCTCTTGATTGTTCCTCAGATGCACACTTGGGCCTTTACACTTGCTTTTTTCTCTGCCTGGATTGGTCTTCTTGCAGATACTCAGAAGCTCACTTGCTCACTTTCTTCCAATCTATGACTGAAAGTTATCAAATAATGTCCCCTGCCCAACCTCTTTCAATAGCACCCTCCACAACTTTCTACCTTTTGCCCAGCTTATCTTCATAGCAAGTATCACCTCCTGACATGCTAAACATTGTTTCTTTTTCTCCTCTTCTACAATATAAGCTTTTCAAAGGCCAAGGCTATTTTGTTCACTCCCTCATCCTCAACACCCAGAACAGTGCCTGGCACAGAGTAGGTGCTTAGGGAATGTTTATTGAATGAATCAACTGACTCCAAATCATATGGTTAAGAATTCATGGCTGGGCACAGTGGCTCACACCTGTAATCCCAGCACTTTGGGAGGCGGAGGCAGGCAGATCACGAGGTACGGAGATCAAGACCATCCTGGCTAACACAGTGAATCCTCATCTCTACTAAAAATACAAAAAAAAAAAAGTTAGCTGGGCGTGGTGGCGGGCACCTGTGGTCCCAGCTACTCGGGAGGCTGAGACAGGAGAATGGCGTGAACCTGGGAGGCAGAGCTTGCAGTGAGCCGAGATCGCTCCACTGCACTCCAGCCTGGGTGACAGAGCGAGACTCCGTCTCAAAAAAAAAAAAAAAAAAAAAGAATTCATATCTATGAGCATGATGCTCAGAGACTATATTCTGTACAGCCTTATTTTACTCTGAAAAATCAAAATTAAATGTGAAGAAAGTTTGAATAACAATAGTTTAGTAATGAGACAGACCTGTCCTGTAACTCCTGCTCCATTGTAGTTGGCATGATGACATTTCGGTAATAATATGGTCAGTTGACAGCCTCCCATTTACACATCTGCACCTTCCTCGGCCCAGAGATGAAGTGAGCCACCTTGGGTTCTCCTCCCTCAGAGGGGAAATGACAGCACCAGAATGATTTCACAGCCCTTAATTTTCTTTTTACAGTTGGTCCTGCACTACCAAACTCAACTTCAATTTTAATAAAATTCGCTCATGTTCCAACTCTAACTGGAAAAGCAATTTAATCATTCTTTTGAGAAATAAGTGTACTGGCAAGGGGAACTTTTTAACCTAATAAATCATTTTCTTTTCTTGTGGAGGGAGACCAACAATAGAAAGAAAATGATGAAAAGAATCCAAACTTAAGAAGTTCTCTGTTTTCATAAAAATAATCTCTTCTGTTCTAAAATCAAATCAGTATAGTCTCTGAATGGCTAAGTCTGGAGACTCATGTCTCTTTGCAGTATGAAGCATATGTCCTCATCTTTGTCTCCATGCTTTGGCTGGCTGGTTTCTATCTTGAAATGATGCCTGAATTGTCCTTCCTGCTCTCCTCTTCCATCTCCCAAAATGTACACGAAGCAAGTAAGAATCTTAGGTCAAAAACTTAGGTAGCAAGACAAACAACATGTTAATATTTTTCTATGAATTAACTTAATTTCAACCCAGGGGCTCCCTCCTACCAAGCCAACAGGAAATTTAATTTTTAGACAATATTAACTCCCTCACCACTCCCTCCACACTGGTGCTGCTGAGATTGGGCCAAGGTCCCCAGGTCTTAGACTCTTAAGTGTCAGGGAATTCTGTCCATGTTTACCACATGATTATGGATGATCCTGCCCATCATTGGTCATGTGTCTATAGCTGTTCCAGACCACATGTTCCTCAGTTCTGCTGCTTTCAAGCCACACCAGGGGCTTCACAGACCTTGGGAGAGGTTGGAAATCCCTAGCTGGGGATCCAGTCTCTCCACTATCACAGGGCCATGTCCACAGGGCCATCATGTGCCTTGGACGCTTAGGCACAAGGGAGCAAGGTTTATGGGACTCACAGACTTTACACCGAACCAGCAGAATCTCACCTTAATCTGGGAAATGCCTTTTATTTCAAACCTGACTCTCTGTAATGGACTTAGACATCTGGGAACCAAAAACACACTTTCTGCAAATAAGAAAGCATAAGCTACTTGCTTGAATGTAGTCAAGTGAAGAGATGCAGGGAGGAACACCACATGTTAATATCTTCAAATGGCCTCACCAAACTGGAAACCGGAGGATCCCATCTTTGTTCATGCAACCTAGAAGAAAAGGCTGTAGCTCTTTGCAGGTCCGGGTGAATGGACTTGGTGTTGGGATTTCAAGTGGCCCTGCTGCCTAGGCCTGGACTATTCTGTCTCCTGGCTACTGCGGCCCTTGAAAAAAGGCCAGAGTGACTGAACATGCCACACAGGGAAGACTCAGCTCTGTTTGTGCACCACATCTGCTCAACATTCAAAATCCATGTTATTCTAAGAGTTTTGGATTGATCAATACTAACCTGTAATATCAATATAAATAACATGCCCCCACATTATAGCTTCCAAAGAGATACTCTCTTTTTGTTACTTTATCTGTTCACTACTTTAAGGAATACAGTTTTATAAGCCATGTTGCTTCCATCACCCCCTCTTTGTAAAGGATCAAGTGATAACTCAGGAATCGCTACCTTACGCTGACCCACATTCTGAGCAGACCAACAAAAACAAAGACTCACGAAGTCCCTGCACAATTCTCTCCCCAGGACCCCGCACACAGCTCCACTCTCTCTTTTGCAACAACCTAGACAATGACCAGGAAATGTTTCTTGAGGACATGTGTGCTCTTTAGCATCTAAACAGTAGGACAAATTATTACAAGCATCTTTGATTCCTGTCTCTGTTGGTTTTACATTTCTTTTCTTTTATAACCTGTGCAAATTTGACAGCCACCTTAAATCATTTTCTGGAACAAGGCTGGGTGTAAGTAGATATAACAGAAATTATGTACAACTATTAGTTTCCAGTCATTACGGCAGAATAATTTGGGGGACAGCAAGGTTGGTCAGGCTCTTCAGTAACCAAGGTCAAGAACAGATAGGATTCCTATTTCCAAAGGAAAGAAGCCCATCATGAATGTGAAGAGAAGTCTCATAGAGAATTAAGCCTGCACTGGAAAGCAAAAGGGTTGTATTGTAATGCAATCCCACAGAAGACTTTGAAGCTTATGAAAACTGGATCACTCATGCATCCATTCATCCATCCTACAAACCTTTATTGATCACCTACAACATACCAGGCCACCGTGGTTAAAACAGGAATATTTTGGAGCCATGCACATACAAAGCTAAACAACAAGACCTATTGCAAAGATATCATATGTTCAAAGAACTTAATTTTTTTCTTGTCTCTTTGTCCCATTCTATGCTGATACTGATATTAATGATAATTTTAATGGATAGTAATTGGTGCTTCAGATATATGGTCGCTTGCAATTAAGAAAACAATCTTGAAACTCTTGAAAAAGATTACCAAGTCCATCTTACAGACACTGGTAGTAAAGACAAAGCAAAATAAATTGATACTAGAGTCCCTTTAGCTACTATGCCATGCTTCCACTGAGCCATTCACCCCTACGACCTCATTTATGTGTGCAGCTTAGCACACATTACACACACATTCACATACTCAATATAAATGATGGGCTAAATATGTAGGATAAATACTTGCCATAAAAATCACCTTCAAAACATCTATTACTTCTTTAAGCTTGATATTAATTTACCTATTAACACCTGATGATGCATTATTCCTCCCTTGAGGCAGATTTCTAATAGCTTGAACTGCCAAAAACAAAAAACCTCAATGGATGCTGAACCTTCCATTAGCCTTTGGATTCTGGCATCAGTCCTAAGCTCTTTAGTGCATGTTCTTTGTACCACCACACTGCTCCAGTCCTGCCTCTGCCCTGGTTTTCTGGGCTGAGTAATTATGGGGGACATCCCACTGCCACATGCCAACGAGGGAAATTAAAACTTTGTTCAGAAATGTCATTTGCCAATATTACATTCCTTTTAATCCTGAGTCACTATTGGTATAAACATACACTGGTCAGTATAACAGAAAGTAGGCCAGAAGCTGTCTGAACTTAGAATTGAAATCAAAAGTCCAATAATTTAGACTACATAATATACCATTTAGTTCTGTTTAAGTTGTGCCTCAGCTGCTGTAATTTAAAATGGGCATAACATTGCTTGCTACCCCCTTTCAGAGTTTTTCTCAAGGATAAAACTAATAGTAGTTAAACTATTCAATCCCTTGGTTTGGATGTTGACATGAGGTAATCAGCATAAATAATGATTTTACTGGCAAAGAATGTTAGTCAGACATTCTGATAATTAGCATTTGTCTTTTGTCAAACCCTGTCCCCAAGGTATTTCTATCTCAAAATAAGTAGAGACTGTACTAATATCCTTAGCATGAATAGCAACAATCAAAATGATAAACTAACATTTTACAAATGTTCTATTTCTAAAACTAATCATTATTAAAGGCCAAATACTTCTGTGATACTGTCACGTGACAGTACTGCCTTTCTGCTAAGAAATGAAATTGTAAAACACTAACCTCATCACATTTGCTTCATTAATGGTCATCAGTGACTTGTAATCAGGCAGAATCCATCTGCAGAATAAATATGCAGACTTTGATTTGCTTATTTTTCTTTTCTGCTGTCAATATGAACCAACATTGTCATTGTTGTATTTGCATTAGGCTCAAGCAAAATGTCTTTTCTAAGTTAGAATACAGACCCTGGTGATAATAATTTGGAAGGCAGCAAGGGTAGGTCAGGTTCTTCCCCTTACTATCCTCGATGTAGTACTAGAGGGACTTGATGTGCACTGTTCACTCTAAATACACTGCCCTGCCTATATAAAGATGACGCCACCTAGTTGAAAGTGCATGTGGAGTTACCTAGCCCTGTGAGGGGTTCTAGAGCAATATCCTCCTGTCCCTATTTTAGAATGACTTCCTTCACTATTGCATTCTAACCCATGCTTTGCTTCCCAGACTCTATGTCAGGGTGGTAGCAGAGTTCACAATCAGCAAGGTCCCCCAGGGGCCATTTCCTCATTTCCATCTTATTCAAGCCTGGTGTCTCTTACAGCCTCCAGGAAACAATATCTGGCCACAAGAAATTAAATTATAGGCAAAGGTTGAGTTTTAACTCTTGATTCTCCTGATTTCTGAATTCCAAGAAAACCCTTTTCCTAACTCACTTTGATTTGTAACCACTAATATTTCTCCCCAGATGTAATGCAATCTGGTACTTTTGCTGTGTGCCAGAAGACAGTATATAGACTTAAATGATTTGAAATCAAGAGTATAACCTTCAAAGCCCAGTATTCTAGGGAGTGATAGGAGAGCTGTAGGTCTTTGGAAAGAACCAGGGAACACCCAGGTGTTGGTGTGTGAGACAGAACTTCACAGAGGTGAAACTGCATCAGATTTAAAAGATTTGAAAATGTGTGTCATAATAAACTCCTTCTTTTCTCCTCCACAACACTGCTATGACAATGTGAACAAAGCAGGGACAGCGTGAGTTTTATGGAAGGGTTAACGTCTATTCTGTGATGTGAACAGAGCCTCCCAGATGCACTGGGAATGCGCTGCTTCATCTCCCATGATCCCAAGTGCTAGAAAGAAGTTCTATTCCTGTATCTCACTGATTACAGTCATGAAATTTGGAAGTAGATATATTTTTTAAGTCATGAGCATTTTAATTACAGCTTGGTCTTTGTGGCTCTCCATTGATTTTCAATTAATATTCGCCCCTTAATCTAGTTTGTACTTACTTAGGTCTTGGTAACAAAAAAAGAACAACAACAACCAAAAAAAAGCAAAAAGAGATACTCTCATAGGTGTCAGTGAGGGGCTGAGGGAAGCAGAGCAGATTCAGATAGTAGCTGCTGTAATATTAATTGCAAAGGCCAAGACTTTACCAAACTGTAGCCACACAATGTAAATGAGAGTTTTATTTCTGATTCAAAACCCGAGCTGTAGCCTTACTCAGAGAAAATCCCCACCATACAGCATTTCCAATGATCCCATTATTCTTTTTGCTGGCTTGCTTCACCTGAACAAGTCTTACATTCTAGAAAAAGTGATGGGGATCTGATGCTAGATACTTTAGGGTTCCTTTAACTCTCCCCTCTCCCATATAACACTTTTTGCATGATATGGGTGGTAGGCTGTATAATGGCCCATGAAAGACGTCTATGTCCCAATTCCTGGAACCTGCGTACATATTACCTTCTATGGTAAAAGGGACTGTGTAGGTGGAATTAATTAAGGATTCTGAAGTGAGGAGACTTTGCTGGATTACCCAGGTGGGCTCGATGTTGTCACAGCAGTCCTTTAAGAGGCAGGCAGGAGAATCGAAGTAAGAAAAAAAAATGTGAAGACAGAACTGGAGGTTGGAGTGATGTACTTTGAAGATGGAGGAAAGAGTCAAGGAATGCAGGCAACCTCTAGAAGCCGAAAAAGCCAAGGAAGTGGATTTCCAGCCAGAAGCCTCTGGAGGAAAGGAGATTTGCTGACACTTTAATTTTAGACTTTGGACCTCCAGAATTACAAAAGAATACTTTTGTGTTAGTTTAAGACACTAATTTTGTGAAAATCTGTTATTAACAGCAAGAGGAAACTAATACAGTGTGAAATTTATAGCTTTGCTTCTTAAGGATACTTGCTGTGCCCCCTTTTAAAAAATCACCTCTTGTTTTGAAACAGAACCCACAGAAGGTCCTACTGAAGCCCTCAGGAAAAAATATCAGGTGAAATTTGGAGTTCTCTGGCAAATGTCCACTTGTTTTTCTCATTAAGGAATTATCCCGAACTTTCATGAACTAAGATCCAAGCCTCCTGATTTCCAAAAGATCGCTTCTGGAGAAACTGTATTTGAGTGAAAGTGAAACCTTAAACTCCTTCCTTGGAAATGAAATATAAGCCACTATTGAGTGAGACATTGTATGTTAGACCATGGCTTTCCCAACTCCTTCTTTCTATTTGGGTCTCTTTAGAGTAGCAGTTCATTTATTTTCTCTTCATTAAAATGAAATAAATATGTTCTTCATCAAGATGAAGCCTTCTGAAATCAGGCTGCTAAGATTTCTTCTGAGCATTTTCAGTTTTTTAAGGTAAATGCACAGACACCATCATGCAGATGTGCTTGTGCATATACAGGTAGGAAATTGAGTAGTGAGTCAAAAGGTTTATTTTCCTCAAATGCCTCAGAGGAATTCTTTGCTGATTCTTGAGTTGAGAGAGAGTAGCATTCGTTAAAGCCATGTTATTTACGCAGTTGATTTTTATAACAAGCTTGTTGTTGTGGTCTCAGGCCAGACATTTAAAAAAAAAAAAAAACAAAACACAAAGACCTAGTTTAAAGAGGAAGCTAATGGAAAAGAGGAAGCTTATTAGCATGTGTTCCTCAGGAAAAATCTTGCATTTCTTATATAAGAGCTCTGTTAAACCAGATGGGCTTTCCAGTAGATGCGAATTAATCGCGAGGAGCTCTGTGCTTGTAATTTCTGGAGTTGAGCCCCTCCATGGGCATTCTCCTGGAAGATGTTAATTACCCATACAGAAAACTTTTCTTGTTAATCATAGAAGTCATATACAGTTGCATTTATATTTAAACCTCCTATGTTAAAAATAAATTCTCTATAAGAATATATCAAAAAGCAAATTAATCACAGTACAAGTTGTTAGCTTTCCTACCTGGATACTCAACTGTCATTGAAACCTATGTGTCAAATTTGGCCTTTTCATATTTCTTTAACCCAAGAAACTTCAACTGTCGCCATTATAATTTTTCGAGTTGATATCTCATAAGAATTGCTATGTGTCAGCATAGTCATCCCCCATTACTCTAATAAATAGGTCAGGATTTTTTTAATGTTTTACAGAAATTGTTTCATAGAATGATTCAAAACATGAAAAACATTTTTTTTCTTCTAAAACAGGAAGCATGACAAGGGCATGCAGGCAAAAGGACATAGCATGTTTCTGTTATTAGGCAATCTTGCTATTCTATACTGAAAAGTCTAGACTTTGACTTGGAATTGTATCCAGCACTGAATGACTCAAAGAAGAGGTATTCATCGTGTAGAGGGTTTGAATGAGAGTTGTAGTTACAGTTGGGAATCAGAAAATGAAATCTAGGAGAAAATGGCTGGAACCATTCTGGAAATTAGGAAGCTGAGTCGTAGTAATGGTTTTCAAGTACCACCAACCATATGAGGCAGAAAATTGTAGTTAGCTCATTTTCATGTCAACAGAGGACAGGACAAGAAGTTATCCGTGCAGCTTTAAAGAAGCCGAGTCAACTGCAAAGAGGAATTTTGTGATGGGGAAATATTTTTTGACTCTTGGATGGTTTTGTAGTAGAACAGTCAGGCCAGATCTGATGAAGACGTGCTAGGATGAGAATGGGAGAGAATCTCCCTCCCCAGGTATCAGAAGGAAGTGGGAGTCCTCTGTATGCCACATGTGCCTCCCTTGTCTTGTTGCTGTGCCCTTGGTTTCTTGTTTTTCAATCTTTTATACCCATTTTCCTCCCTGACTTGACTGTTGGAGTCCAGGCAATAGACAACAATTCTGAAAACCCTCACCTTATCACTTCCTCTGAGGACTTTAGAGCTTAATGAATGATTCCGATTCTCAAAAAGAAGAGCCAAATTTTTTCATGACTGCTGTGAAAGATTACACAATATTTCTTCAGAGGCCTTTACAAGTAGTTGCTGCACAGTGCAAATTGGAAATGCAGGACAGATTTCTCATGAGGGCTAGACCAGATGGCCTGTGTGAATGCTCTCAGAGTCCTCCCTAGCTGTCGATTCCAAGAAAAAAAAAATATCACTGCTGGGCTTCTGTTTTGGTTTCCAATCTGGGTAAATGAAAATCAACCTGCAGTAAAGAATTTTAAATGTATTTTGATTCTGACTTTCAGGAGCAAGCTTTCAAAGTAATCTCTAAATGCATGCAGGAGAGTTAAGTATGTTCAGCACAGAATGCCCAAATGAGCATTTCCTGTCCAGTGTTGACATGTGGCATTGTTCAGTCATACGTGCCCATGGTTTTGTAGATCTCTTCCTGAGAAGCCTGTGCTTTAGACACTGTGATGCTAAGCACGCTATCATCTGGAAGTTGATTTATGTCCAACTTGAGAATATATATCAGTGGAGAGCCTCTGTGGCAGCACTGTGGGGTCCTCACAGCTCTGCAGGAGATAAAGAAAGCTGGTCTGGCTCTCTCAGCACACAGCATGGCTTTGCTTCTTCCAGAGATAAGAGCTTGGGCTCCAAATTGTGCATATGTAGAGAAGGGGATTGTCCTGTCTAGAAGTGTTTCATGTGCTGTGCTTCTTTCCTGTGTTGAAAAATGGGGCCTACCCAAGAAGCTGCAATGTGGAAGCGAAAGGAACATAAGGAACTCTGCCCTTGGAGTCAGGACCTCAGTTTGGCCTTGTGCCTCTGCCCAGCTTACTGGGTAACTCTGACGAAGGAACTAGCCAATCTGTATAAAACAAAGTGAATGGCTGGGTACGATGGCTCACGCCTGTAATCCCAGCTCTTTGGGAGGCCGAGATGGGCGGATCACGAGGTCAGAAGATCAAGACCATC